ACCCTATAATTGAGGTTCATATTCTTAATATATAAGGTACGCGAATTTACCTTTTCTTATTATTTTATATTCATATTTTGCATTTTATTAATTTAATGTTTAAATTTTTATTCTTATATATTTGTAATATTCAATTTGATATGTGTTAATATTATAATTTTATGTTATTAAATGGGTCTATATTTGTTTTCTAAAATCTTGAAAAATAAATTGCACTTAGAGACTCCATTTCTTTTCAAAGAAAATTACGTTATTTATTCTTTTTTCTTTTCTACTCGATCTCTTCTCTTATTATTTTGGGGGGGGGGGAGGAATTATAATCAAATACCCCATCACTCAAACTTATTTATTTTATTCAATAGAGAAGATATGAAAAGATTTTATATAAAAAGATATCTTTTATCCTTATAACTAACCCTAAACATTTGCTTAAGTCCTGATTTAAGCAAGAGGTTATGAATTTGACTCCTAGAGGGAGTGTGAATTTCTCCCATTGGGTGAAAAATAAAAATACAAAGTTCTAGAAGAGCTATATCATGGTCTATTATTCCTGTTAATAGTTGAAAATAATATTACAATGTGTAAGCTTCTCCCATCGGGTAAAAGATGAAAATATAAGTCTCCAGAAGAGTTATATTATGGTTTATTATACCCATTGATGGTTGAGAATAATTTTACAATTAGGAGTGTTCAAATTGTCTCGTCCCGATCCCGGTAACTCTGGGACGAGACAAAATATGCCCCGGGACGGGACACAGGACAAGGTTTTCTCATCTTGGTCCCGTCTCAGGGTATATAATTAAAAAAAATTGCAAATATTTGTGACAAATTGACTCCCTTGCCCTAATTTTCTAATGCTTTCGGTGCCTCCCAGTCTTCAGTCTTCACCTTGCCTTCAGTCGAAGAGCCACTTCCTCTGTTACTTTCCTTCCCCGTAAGCAGCCCCTTGTAACAGCTTCGGTTTCCTACAAATCTCCCTCTAGTCTCAGCCTCTCGCTGCCCATAGATCTCCCGTTGGTCTCCCTCTGTGATCTTTCCTTTCGTCTCCAGCTAAGTCACTATCCATAGATTGCTAGCTTGTGCCCATAGTCTCACGCCTCTGGCCTCCCTCCTGCAGCCTCTAGTCTCCCTCCTGTAGATCTCCCTTTGGTCTCGGCATTGTGTTCCGGTCTCTCTCTTGTGGCCTCTTGATTCCTTCTTCTTTGAGTCTGCTACTCTGCTACCTTCGACTCTTTCCCTACCCCTTGAATCACCGAGATAAGACTAGTGATTGCAATCTCCCATTAATGTCGAAAAGTATAAGACTCCCATGCTAATCCTACTTCTAATTTTGCTTGTATTTGGTTTGGACTTAAATTGTGTTATGACTGTCTTGGAAATAGATTGTTATGGTGGATTGTTCTGCTTGGATTGCAAATTTATTATTGTGTTCTTGATTGCTAAAAGGTGGTTCAAAATATTAATGGCTTTAACGACATTAATGCATAGCTCGCAAGGTGTGTTTCAGCTTTGGATTAGCATCCATATTTTTCAGAGGGAAAAAAAAAAGAATGGCGGCAAGGACGTGCAGGATTTTTATATTCATATGCTTACGGTTTACTTATTTTCGAACCAGAGGCGCAGGATTAAATATGCACACTTTAATATCAATTTGTGAAGTCCAGAGGACTCGTTTTTGTTACAATAAAAACTAAATAACGAAGGCCCAGAAACATAGAGAATTGCCACAAATATAAAGGCAAAAAAAAAAAAAAGGAAACAGATCAAGCCCAACAGGAGCAGAGAGGATTAGAATATTCTTGTGGAGGGTCTATAATGACAAGCTACCAACAAACGCTTGGAGAAGCTCTTGGTCCTCCAGCTCGCCGATCTGTAGCTTTTGTCAGGATGAAATCGAAGACATCATGCATATACTGCGAGACTGTTTTTATGCGAAGAATATGTGGCTGGAAAATCTCAACCAAAAAGCAGTGCATTCTTTCTTTTCTCTGAATTTAAAAGACTGGATATCTTCAAACTTGAAACAAAACATGGAACAGGCGAATATTGAAAACGGGAGTCTATTCTGGGGTGTAGGAGCGTGGAAGTTATGGATTTGGAGAAGTAGTCACTTATTTAAGGAGAATTTTGTCAAACCAACTAATCCCTCTGCTTATTTGAGAAATAGCGGAAATTATTTACTCAAGTGGACGAGCGTAAGAGAAAGAGTAACTCAGATTCTATGAATGCTGCTGAAATGTCTTTCTCGTGGGTTCCCCCGCCTATAAATTGGATTAAACTGAATGTAGATGGTGCCGTGGCGCTGGATTCCTACAAAGCTGGATGTGGTGGTTTGCTACGTGACTACAAAGGCAGCTGGATTGCTGGTTTCTCCCATCAACTTGGCCTCTGCAGTCCCCAGGAAGCCGAAGAATGGGCCATCTTTAGAGGCCTGAAAATAGCCTGGGACTTTGGCTTTAAACAGGTGATCGTTGAATCAGATGCAAAATTGCTGATCGAACAACTAACCAGACAGAACCGAAACAACAGTTGCAGCCTCCTGATCAAACAAATCCAAAACATGCTGGTTTTTAACTAGACTATCAAGCTAGAGTGTATATCGAGGAAAAGAAATCGTGCTGCTGATAGCTTAGCCAAATTGGGAATCTCACAGTCTCGTATGTTCGATATATGTCCTCCTAATCTAAAGGAGTTGATAGCGGAAGAATGTTTGGGATGCAGCCCCAGTGAATTTTAAATTTCCTTGGCCTTGGGCCTTCTCTTGTAACAAAAAAAAAAGAAAAGAAAGAAAAATGTAATTTTGCAGCCAGGGAAAAAAAAAAAAAGTCCTCCCACGCACCTATACATAAAGTTATCAGTGAAAGAATTTCTCGTAAATTTATATTTTTCTTTAAACTTTTTTTAATTAATTGTGGATTTATCAGATAACTAGTTTTTATATGACAATATTTACATCAAATTTCTTATATTCATTATGTGAAGTTCTCCACTCACACATAGGCATGTGTTTTTTTTTTTAAATGCTTCCAAATAAATGATCATATGTGATTATTTGATTAGAGAATTCAATATAATGGGTATTTAGAATTTGACCTAAATATTTTTTTAATATGAAATGATTAAAGTAAATATTCCTCTGGCCCTAAATATAAGATTTATTTTGTAGTGTAAATTATATTATAAAGTGGATTTTATATTTAGGACATTTTAAAAGATCAACTCGTGATTTTTATAAATAAATTTAGCTAGAAGGGGGGAAAAAAAGCTTTGGCAGGGAAATTGGGAAACGCTGAAACATAGAAGCGGGAACTAATTCAGCGACACCGTTTCGTTCAAAACCAGAAAATAAGTCATAATTCAACGGCGTTAGTCGCAACGAGAATAAAGGTCATGTTTGGTACGAGGTATTAAAGTTTAAGGGACTGGGAATAGAATTGGGAATGGGATTGGACATGCGATTGGAGTTGGCGTTGAGTTTTAAAATTACGTTTGGTATGGGATGGGATTAAGAAAAAATAGGTAAGACCCAACTCAAACAGAAATTAGCAAAAAGACATAAGTGCCCTGGTCTTCTTCCGTTCTTCCACCTTCCAAAAATTCATCCCCGCTGGGCCGCTGAGCACCTATCAATAGAATGAATCAGGAAAATATAGGCAAAAGGGGCAAAGCAGAAATTAAAATCAGAAATGCAAACCGTAAAATTGAAATCTTAGCACCCAATGCAGAATCGTCAATGGCATCATACCTGGATGTTCATAGGCTTCAATTTTTTTCAATTCATTCGAACTACAAGGTATGGGTTTTAATTCATTTGAATCGAAGATCTTGTCTGCTTCATTTACCAAAGGGATTTGTCATTCTGGACGCAATCTGATTATAAACACAAGGTTTTTGTTATTGCAATGGAAATCAAAGATCGAAACGCTCTCAGACACAAGAAATGGAGAAGATGAACTGGAGATCAAAGATCGAAGCTCAGACTGGGCAAAGAAGGATGAAGATTGCAGAAAAATTACGACGATGTGAAAGATAAAGATGAACACTATTAATGGAGAACACAATCTGCAAAAACACTGGGGAGATGAACCAGTTCGTGATTCATGATGGTCCAAAGAAGGAAGACCGATATACGGGAGGCGGATGGGTCAGGGATAATTTGGTCCAAAAATGTTTAGTCCTGGGATTGATTTTCCAGTACCAGGGCGGTCGATGGTATTGAGCAATGCCACAGAAAGCAGTATTGAGCAGTCCCAGCACTGCTCAAGTCCACGTACCAAACGTTATAAAATAAGCAATCCCAGTACCAACTCTTCCAGTACTTTATACCAAACAGGGCCAAATTTCTTCGCAGTATCCTTAGAAAATTCAGTTGATTTTCGCAATGTTTCGTCTATGGTCCACGAATTAGGCTTTCAGCTCATATTGCGTCCTCGATCGATTGCATTGATGGGGAACATTGATGATTCGACGAACATAAGGTGCGCTTTATCTTTTATCTTTGAATTAGTTTGCGACCTCGACCTTTTGACATCAACAAGGATGCGGCAATTTATTCATCTCTGTGTTTTGGAAAATTCTAAAAACTGATTCCACCTGTTGTAGCGAAATTTCATCCAAAAGAGCCCAACACGGTTTTTAATATTTCAGAGCTAAACAAGATAGTATAATGTGAGAATTTTGCGGTGCTAAACTGGGGCAATTGCCCAGAAAATGTCATTGGTGTGATTGTTAGCTTATCTTTAACTGTGGTGAAAGTGCTTTGGACTTCTATATTATTGTACTAGGCTATTTCTCCTTAACAAATTTTACTATGATGTTGATAATTCCTGTGAGTAATTTTCTGTTTATGTGTGTATCATATGTTCTGGAATACTATATTATCCACGATTGGAGAAATCATTCTACTTGTTTTGTTGGGAACCCAATTGTATTGTTGAACAAAATCAATCCACGGCTTACTACAACCGAAAAAGGAAAGATGACTACAAGTTATAAACATGTACATAAAAGCACTCCGATCACTTGTTATAGCAAAGCCCATTGGAAAACAAGCAAGCATACTTAAATCATGAATCACGAGCTGTCTCCATGTCAATCATGTGAGCTATGCTTCGCATAGTTGGTCGTGATTGAGGGTTTGACTGTAAACAAGAAATAGCCAGATTACTAATCAAAGCCAATTCCTTCAATTTTTCTTGATTTGTAGGAGGTGAAAGACGTGGGTCTAAAATCTCTTTGAAGTTGATGTTTTGAACACCATATGTTTGTATATGAGAAATTAGATCTCCTGGATGATTTCCTGTGAGAATTTCAAAAGCCAAAACACCGAAGCTATACATGTCACATTTTTCAGTCACTGCCTTTGTGTATGCAAGCTCTGCACCAGCCAGTTGGGGGAAAATTGAAAAAAAAAAAAAGGCAAAAAAACGTTAGCCAATTATAGTAATGACAGGGATACATATGAAATTATGTTGGTCAATTACTAAAAATAATCCAGAGTAGAAGAAGTTTAACAAAATTGTAACTGCTCTAAAATATCACTTCTTGGGCTTAAACATTTGTAAACTAGAAAACTTTCGGAAATTTTGGATGATCTTCTGTAGCTAAAATATAATTCTTCCTTTTTAAGAACTTACAAGTTGTGAGGGAGACTGTCACAAGTTAATTTAAAGCTAAACAGAGTCAGATATAGCATATGAAGCTAACCTGGAGCTGCGTAGCCATATGTGCCTGCAAAGGAAGTCCAAATATGTGAATCTGGCTTCAGGAACCTTGCTGTGCCAAAGTCTGAGACATGAGCTTCCAGATTTTTGGACAATAATACATTTTTGCTTGATATGTCTCTGTGGATTATTGGTGGGTTGCAATCATGATGCATGTAAGATAAAGCTTGTGCTACTCCCTTAACAATCCCAACTCTCCTTGGCCAATCTAGCTCAGTAGCTTTTTCTTCATTTCTCAGCATATCATTTAAGCTCCCTCTTTCCATGTACTCATAAATTAAAAATGTGTGTAAGGGGTCTGAACAAAACCCGTACAACTTCACAATGTTTCTGTGACGTGTTTCAGTCATGGCTTCTATCTCACTTTTAAAGGATTTTATACTTTCAATGTCTAAGCTATCTGCCTCACATCTTAACTTTTTTATAGCAACTACTTGACTTCCTGGCATGGCCACTCTGTAAACTTTCCCTAATGTTCCCTCTCCAATGCAGTAGGTGTCATCAAAGTTCTTAGTGGCTTCAATTATGTCTTCATAAACAATTCTGCCATTGAAATACCATATTGAAAATGGACTTTTTCTCTCCCGTGCAGAATTCTGTTTCATATATGTTGTCTTACAACAAAAGACAAAAATGCAAACCAACAATGATGAAACAAGCAGTGCACCTCCCAAAGAAGCAACAATGGCTACTATAACTTTCTTTTTGTTGCTTCCACCTCCAGGTTTTGTGTATGAGACATTGCAAGGTTGCAGGTCTTGTATATTCCCACATAACTCTTTGTTGTTTCGTAAATCCACTGGATAGGAAGAATTAAATATGCCACTGTTGGGTACAGGACCCTCCAAGTTGTTGTAAGAGAGATTGATGCTTGACAAACTCAACATGTCACCAAGAGAGTCAGGGATGGAACCAGATAGATTGTTGTGAGAGATATTCAAGCTGATCAAATTTTTCAGCTTGCTAAGATCAGCTGGAATTTGGCCAGAAAGTGAATTGTAACTGAAATCCAACAAATCTTGTAAGGCTGCCAGATTTCCAATTTGGTGTGGGATTGTTCCATTCAAGCCATTGTTGCTGAAATTTAAACTCAACAAGTTTGAGCAATCCCCTATCTGATAAGGGATTTGTCCTCTTAGCATGTTTGTTGACAAGTCTATTGTTTGCAAATTGGACAATTTCCCAATGCTTGCTGGTATCAATCCTGAAAGTTTGTTGCTACCCAAAGATAGAGTGGAAAGGCTAGAAGAATTCCCTATTTGTTGGGGAATCTCTCCTGATATTTGATTGGAAGACAGATGTAGCTCTACCAGTTGGTTCAACTGAAAAATATCATCACGTATGGCACCACCTATTGAATTTCCAGACATGCTAAGATATTGCAAGTTTTTGCAGCTTCCCCAATTTGAAGAGAGCTCACCTTGGACATTATTGTAGCTGAAGTCCATGTAAGTAAGATTAGGATACACTCCAAAATCTTGATCCGCATAACCCCTGAGTTGGTTATATTCCATCCGAACCCTGTACAAGGATGGGCAATCTCTCAGGCTTATTGGAATTGGGCCGGTGAAACTATTGTGGGCAGCACTGAAATTGGCAAGCTTGCCACCTTTGCAAACTTGCGGTGGTAACTCTCCAGTGAAGTTGTTTTCAGCAAGATGTAGGACAGTTAAAGAAGAGAAGTTTCCTAATTCTTGTGGTACGGGACCTTGTAAATTATTTATGTGGAGGAAAACCTGAGATAGATTAGTCAATCTACCAAAACCAGGAGGAATCACGCCTGAGAGCTGGTTTCCAGACATCCTAAGAACACTCAAATGTGTACAGTTCCCTAGAGATGGGGGAATAGGTCCATAAAAGCTATTCCCATCTAAAGCTAGCACAGTTAAATTTTTTATATTCCCTATTTCATCTGGAATTCTACCACCAAGCAGGGTGTCCTGAAAGAGAAGATTTCTGATCCCTATCAGTCCAGTCTTGGGCTGATCAGAACCATCAGGAAAGAGACGAGGGTCTAATATCCCAGTAATGTTGTTTCGAGAAACATCAAACTCGTAAACTTGAGTCAAATTAGCAAGAGAAAGAGGTAAAGTGCCATTGAGGTGATTTGTTGAGAGGTCAAGATATTGCAATCTAGAAAGCACTCCAATGTTTTCTGGTATACTACCGGTGAGGTTGTTTGTTTTAAGATCAAGGCGGAGAAGATTTGGAAATGCAGAGAAGTTCAAGTTCTGGAGGGTACCTTCAAGACCAGTGTAAGCCAAGTTTACTGCAATCACACTTCCTGAGGAATTATCACATGTTATTCCACGCCATGAACATGGGCTTTGAGCTGCACTTGAGTTTTGCGCTGGAGAGACCCATGACTCCAGAATTGGTTGATCTGGAAGACTTTCTTTCCACCTGAGAAGGGCCTCTGTTTCTGGCTCTCCAGAAGCTACTACACAAATTGCCAAGAAAACCACACATGTAGCTTGAACTGCAAGGTAAGCGTCAGTTCTCTGCTTATCCATTGTTTTTCCCCCCAGAAACTGGTTCTCTCTCCCTCTTATTTTTTTCTGCAAGATTTATGCTGGTTTCGGGGGACTAAAATAGGACTCTGGTTTCTTAGATATATGATTAGTGTCTATGTATTTTACTTTGCAATTTGCATGAGAACAAGGCAGCAATTGTTGTCGATGTCAAACTGATGGACAAAGTATAATATAATTCTTTTAATTACTCTATATTCGAGCATTTTGTATGGTTTTGGACCTTCCCTCTGTTTTTAATATTTTTCTCATAAAATAAAAGTGTTGCGTTTGTTGAATATTCTGTTATGGTTGGTTTGTTCGGTCTTAGCATTGATTTTCTAGGATTAATTGGGCATGACGAATTGTCTTTGACTTTTAGCCAATAGTTTACAAGTCCAAGTTTCAACTTGATGGCATCATCCATTTTCAGGCATTATGGATAATAGAGCACACTTGGTAATTGGTAAAATTTGATAAAGCTCCAACTCACTTAGACTTTTTTGTATTAAAAAAAATTGATAAAGCTTTTTTATTTTACAGTGTCATAATTTACATTACTTCTGAGAAGAATTTCATCGCTATAAAATATAATCATAATCACTAATAGAAAATCTATACTAAGTCGTACAATTCCATAACTATAAATGGTGTGGTTTATTTCTAAAACTCGGTGTAATACAGACGGCTCATCTACTTATGAAATCTTATATTTTTGTTTAAATTAAATTTTCAACAAATAATACTGCTCATATTTATAAGGAGGAGTACTGTTTATAAGTCAGTGCAAATTATTCCCTTGCCTTTGACTCTTGCTACATCTTCATATACACAGCTTACCATATCATTTATACACTAATAGCAATTAAAGTTGGGTGTGTTTAATTTGCCCTTTTGAGGGAGACTGCTTTTTAGTACTGACAGGAAATATCTTAGTGTCTGTAAAAAGGCAATTAAAAAAAATCAATATTATCTTTTTAGTTTTCTCATTTTATACAAGATTTTAGGTTGATTTCTCAACTTTATAAAGCTCTTTTCAATCATCAAACCTTAATACTATTAATTTTAAATGATGATTTTTTCATGTCAATCATTGTTATTTCAAAAAAAAATCAAACCTATCATATTAGTATTTTTGTTAATTTAGTGTCTGCAATTTTTGTTAATAAAATTAATAATGTTAGAGTTGAAAGATTGAAGGTCACTTCATAAATTTAAAGTATCAAAATAAAATATTGTGTGAAGTTGAAAAACAAAAAAAATCAGAAGTGTACGTTTGCTAAAATTTACATCTTCATCAAATAATTCAATTATGCAATTCAACAATTTGGTTAAAATTGACTAATGACAATAAATATGTAAAAGAGTACAACTTATTATTCTAAAATTCCGTGTTTATGGAGATATTAAGTGGAAGAGAGAATAAATTAAAAAAATAGAGATGAGAGAGAATGAGTGAAAAAAAAAAGATGACAGAGACTTATAATTAATGAGGATAAAAATGAAAAAATATATTAAATGATTAGATAAATCTAAATCAATGCTTATAAACAAAATCAAACCCGTTCAAAAATGCTATTCTTATATTTTGAATGGAAAGGAATACTCAATGAGGCTCAAATAGCGTGTCTGTCTATCACTTGCCAGTCCCTGTGGATAATCAGCTATCATCATCTATGATATATCCTTAAAAGAATGATTCTAATCACACACCCTAATAACAAACTAATCTAGTGCCTTCTCTGGATTCTACTCCCAGATATCCAAGCAACCAACTGATCCAGATTGAGTTCTGCAGGAACATTTTGAGTGGCAGGCTCTCGCAACAAGTTTTAACATAGCTGCATACCCATGGCTTGAACATGAAACAATTAGTTAAGTTGAATAAATCCCTTACCATATTTTTACCAGGCGCTTGTTGGTGGCTTTTCTCGTTTTCTAGTCAAATGCAAACCAGTTGTACCGTTCCGTGGTTGTATACCTTGAACCACAAGACAACATTTTTAATCAAATCATGTTGGCTGCACTACGTTAGTTGAACGCTGATCAATATTAAACATTTTTCTTTTGTAAGAAAGCAATTGTTGCCATAATAAATTAATATATCCTAGATACTTTTCTTCTAGAAAATTTTTTTTATTCATTTTATAAGACTTTTTAATACAGTTCGAATGAACTTTAAATATTTTTTTCCGTATATGTACATATTTAATAAGGATAATAGGAAAGAGTAAAATTTAATATAATGTCGAAATTTAGTGTGTTTAATGCAGATAATATTAGGAATCGCTTAAATTTTATTATAAATTTAATGTTTCAACTATTTTTATTAGTAGTATGAATCAGTTTGAAATTTCTTATATCAAAGCTAATAGAGAGGTTTACTTTGGATTTAAGCTAACATCCCAATCTATTTTATCTCCCAAATTTATAATTCTTTTTTCAAACTCTCCTTACTTATACTAAGGGTATTTTATCAAGAGCTAGTTTTCAATGCAAATAACAAAAGGGTTGTTTTAGGAAAATCTTCACATATTTAAAACAAATAACTACTTTTAAATATACTAATTTAATATGCTAGTAGTATAAACGTGAGAAAATCCAGACTAGAACGCTTGATAATTAAGCCTTTAAATAATAACTTAGATCTTTGAGACTTATTTTTGATGTAGCTATCTCATATATTATTAAATCATATTCGAGTATAGTCAAAATCAATTGAGGGTAATTTTCTTAATTAAAAATACCTTATGCTTTCACAAGCTCTCGAATTAAAAATTTAAAAAAATGTTTATATGGACTTATCCTCAATATTTAATTTATACTGAGAAATGTTCAAAAGGCAGCAAAGAGTTGGTGGTGTGTTTAAAATACAGAGCATTGAATGATGGCAGTGAAATTCAGCTCAAAATTGTGAAAAGATAATTTAAAATAATTGATAGATTGAATTACAGATTTGTTATTATGTATTATTGAAGTACACACATTTTTATGTAAACGATATGCACACATTTGTGTTCAAAATAATTGCGCTAAGTTTTAGTCTAATTTATTTTTTTGTCAAATTTTCACTTAATTTTATTTTTGTTATAATTAAAATATCATTCCTTATAAAACTATTAGTTGAAAAAGTTATATTCTTTTTACTTTATAAAAAAGCTACATTTTTTTACTTGACATTTCTTATTCAAATAAAAATCATTACAATTAAAAAAAAGCATATCTAGGTCATTTAATTCTTATTTGAATGAAAACATGAGATAAAAAGTGTATACAAATATCTCTAAATACGTATTAGAAATCTAAACTTTTACTCACATATAATGTTAAATATCATGGGAAAAAATCTATTATATTATTTTTCTAAGGTGACATTTTTCTAAATATAAATCAACCAAAGAAAATGTTAGCAAAACAAAGTAATCATAAATTAAAAAATTATTATAAAAATGAAAATTTTAAATATTTTTAACAAAACGAGGTGAAAGCTCCCTTACTTTTTCCCCAATAAAAAAATCTTAAGGTTAAAAAATAAAATATATCATCAAACTTTTGTGACTTCATTAATAAACATCACATTGACATATATGAAGACCAAGTCGTGCACGCAAGATGCTTCTTTATCCTTCAAAGGTCAATTTTATCCTTTGCTTGATACTTTTTATTTATTTATTTTTCTTTTTATAAAAAATTGCACTAAAATTCCCATGGCTCGTGGAAAAGGACAAGCTATTGGCCACAATTATATAAAGCTCAAAACATAAGGGAAAAACAAGTTAAGGACTTAAATAAAAAAAAAAAGAATGAATAGATCTCAAGACAAAAATAATTAATAACTCTCAGGTTCTAACTACTTGTAAATACAGAAGTTTAACGTGTAAACATACTAATTTGACTTGTAAAATTGAAAATAATTAATTTTTTATTTGGAATCTATTTATAATTTTCTCCTAACTAAAACCTTTGCAACTGTGAAGAAGCTGCTTGTGAAGATCACGAACGATAAAATAGAAATATGAATCGATATACGTATTAATAATATCTTTGGCCGTAACTCCCGCATCCATATACCTTCGATAAATAATTTGAACCCAACCTCACACTTAAGAGGGATTTAAGGAAGGTATTTGGTATCATTATATTGTAATACGAGGCCACGACTAATATTAATATAAGACTTATAGCAAATTACATCATTCACAAACTATAAATGTTACATTTTATTTTTTGGGTAAAGTAGCAATCAATACCCTAATCTTATTTATGATCCATTGACTACCCTAATATTATTTTCTTGATGTGTCTCACAACCCCTAATGTTATTATCTAATTACATCCTTAATTTTATTTATGATTTAGGATGCTGGATGCTCTAGAAAAATAACATTAAATTGCTTGATGTTATTTTCCCCGTTTTTCAATAATTTAATATATGAGGTTAAGCAATGGACTAGTCATCGGTCAATGATGGTTAACCGTCAAAGGTAGAAATCGAGAAGAACATTTTCGACATTTTATTGATTTCCCTATGTTACTGTTAGCAGTGAAACTGAAATCCTTTGGGACATTAATTAAATTGGGAGATTAATTGATATTAAATTCCTTAATTAGAGGGGACACATTTTGCCACTTTTTTTATTTTGAACTCATGCATGGATTGAATAATGCACATTACATCGATGTATTTGTGATGTAATTATTATGTTTCATTAATTTTTCTATGCAAATTAAGTGTTCATTTCTATCTGTATTGGTTTCGTGTTTTGAAAAATTCAAAAGAAGGAAATCAAATTGAAATGCGCTGTTGACATGTTCAAAAAGTTAAATGCTAGCATTGAAATTGATAAAGTCAGGGGGAAATGGCCACTATCTTGCCCTCGGTAGTTTAAATTTCAACAAATAAAATTATGGTTTTCTTACATGTTTGTTATGATGGCGGAAATGAAAATATGCATACTTGACCAAGTCTTTCCATTAAATTTTGTTCTCTTGATCACAAAGTCTCTACCCATATATATACATATATATAGAGAGAGAGAGAGACAGAGAGAGAGAGATTTTCGCAGAAGAAGTTGTACTTGAAGATGGCTGATACGAAGAAGCTTATATGGAACCTTGCTTTGCTGTTTGTTTTTCTTTTCTTCGTGAAAGTCGCAGCTAGGGCACCAACATTTTGGATATATGATCATCACATAGCACGTAAGTGATCAGGAACTACCATATGTTTT